CCACCACATGAATAAGGTATGTGTGTGCACGGGATGTGCATGCAGGACTCTAATATCCCGGAAAAGCTCTTTCAAGCCCGCGCGCTCCAACGAGCGAATTCATCAAAGCTTGACCGCTCAACCGACAAACTTCTCTGATCGGGCCCCACCACATGAATAAGGTATGTGTGTGCACGGGATGTGTATGCAAGACTCCAACCCACCTAATTCCTACTACTAATCTCTCCGCCCCTGATTTTCAGGGGCCCCACCCTAATCCACCCAATAACCTTCCATTTAAATAAACAGTAACATTCAAATAGGGAAACCAAGTCATGTTGGAAACCGAGCATGCTACATGGTTAATTTTCACCTCACCTTTCAACTTTGATTTTTCGTGGCAGGTGCCGATTCAATTAAATCACATAAAGATTAGTAATAAAAAATTCAAAAATCACACCATATATGTGCTATCACTTTTTCTAAAACATTGAAGAAAGATTTTTCTCAATAACCCTCTAAAATAAAATAAAATATTCCTCAATACTAAAAAATTGCCAATCCCATGCAATATATCATTTATTATCTATTACTATTAACTCTACTATTGAATCACAATTACAATTTTTCCTAATACAAAAATAAAATCTTATATATTGCAAATCTCTAACATTAAAAGGAAACCCCCAGGTTACCTTCGTCCATCTCCTCCCTCCCACCGAACGACCCCACCTCCCCGTCATCCATGTTTAAATTTGATGTCATCTTTTCCCGGTGTTGCCATGGTGGTGGCGGAGGATGTTTGTGGACTACGTTTCGGCGAGGCACAAGTTTTTCCAAGGGTGGAATATTAACTTTACTTGTTGTGGAATTCTTTGTCAAAATTGCTTGACAAGCATGTTTGTCTCGTATGGTGACCATATGTGTAATCTTTTTAAACAGTTTATCTAATGAAATATATGGTTGCTTAAAAAACGCAAGTACCAAAATCCGGTCCCCAATCGCCTGCGGACGCGTCCGCGTATAGTTACAGGCCAGCACACAAACATTCGATTCCACAACCAGATAGTCCATTTTCAAATCATCAAATCCATATTACATGCAACATCAAACCTAATCTAAGTAGAGCTCGCTCGGCTCCGCCGGAACCTTGTCTGGCGGGCGGCTGCGCCCCTCGAAGTGTTGCTCCGGTCGCTGGCGAGGTACAATAGGACATGGCACATGTACCAGCTAACAGGACTCGAGTTGCTGCCATCTCCCATGCGCTACTCTTCTGTGACGCCCCCGATTCAATCGTACACTAATCATACACGTAAACATGTACGATCAAGATCAGGGACTCACGGGAAGATATCACAACACAACTCTACAAATAATAAAGGTCATACAAGCATCATAATACAAGCCAGGGGCCTCGAGGGCTCGAATATAAGTGCTCGATCATAGACGAGTCAGCGGAAGCAACAATATCTAAGTACAGACATAAGTTAAACAAGTTTGCCTTAAGAAGGCTAGCACAAACTGGGATACAGATCGAAAGAGGCGCAGGACTCCTGCCTGGGATCCTCCTAAACCACTCTTGATCGTCGTCAACGGCATGCACGTAGTAGTAGACACCTCCAGTGTAGTAGGGGTCATCATCGATGGTGGCGTCTGGCTTCTGGGCTCCAGCATCTGGTTGAGACAACCAGGTAGAAGGGAAAGGGGGGAAAGAGGGAGAAAAGCAACCTTGAGTACTCATCCAAAGTACTCGCAAGCAAGGATCTACACTACATATGCATGGGTTGTTGGGGAATGTTGCATAAAATAAAAAAATTCCTACATTCACCAAGATCAATCTATGAGTTCATCTAGCAACAAGAGAGAGATGCATCTACATACCCTTGTAGATCGCGTGCGGAAGCATTCAAGAGAACGGGGTTGAGGGAGTCGTTCTCGTCGTGATCCAAATCACCGGAGATCCTAGCGCCGAACGGACGGCACCTCCGCGTTCAACACACGTACGGTCAGCGTGACGTCTCCTCCTTCTTGATCCAGCAAGAGGGAAAGGAGAGGTTGATGAAGATTCAGCAGCACGACGGCGTGGTGGTGGATGCAGCAGGGTTCCGGCAGGGCTTCGCCAAGCAACTACGGGAGGAGGAGGTGTAGCAGGGAGGGGAGGGAGGCGCCATGGTGTTGGGTGCGGCTGCCCTCCCACCCCCCCTCTTTATATAGGGACCCCAAGGGGGGGCGCCGGCCCTAGAGATGGGATCTCTAGGGGGGCGGCGGCGGCCAAGGGAGGGTGGAGTGCCCCCTAAGGCAAGTGGAGGCGCCCCCTCCCCTAGGGTTCCCAACCCTAGGCGCAGAGGGGGGCCCAGGGGGGGCGCACCAGCCCACTAGGGGCTGGTTCCCCTCCCACTTCAGCCCATGGGGCCCTCCGGGATAGGTGGCCCCACCCGGTGGACCCCCGGGACCCTTCCGGTGGTCCCGGTACAATACCGGTGGACCCCGAAACTTTTCCGATGGCCGAAACTCGACTTTCCATATATAATTCTTTACCTCCGGACCATTCCGGAACTCCTCGTGACGTCCGGGATCTCATCCGGGACTCTGAACAACTTTCGGTTTGCTGCATACTCATATTCATACAACCCTAGCATCACCTAACCTTAAGTGTGTAGACCCTACGGGTTCGGGAGACATGCAGACATGACTGAGACGGCTCTCCGGTCAATAACCAACAGCGGTATCTGGATACCCATGTTGGCTCCCACATACTCCTCGATGATCTCATCGGATGAACCACGATGTCGAGGATTTAAGCAACCCCGTATACAATTCCCTTTGTCAATCGGTACGTTACTTGTCCGAGATTCGATCGTCGGTATCCCAATACCTCGTTCAATCTCGTTACCGGCAAGTCAAGAAAGGGTCCTGCGCTTCGGCGGGATGCGCGGCGGACCTGAACGCGATGTGCCCCGCCGAGCTCCGGTCCAGCGGCGGCGCGGCCTGCCGGAGCGCGTGCGACGCGTTCGGGCGGCCCGAGTACTGCTGCAGCGGCGCGTACGCCAACCCCGGGACGTGCCGTCCGACGTCCTACTCGCAGGTGTTCAAGATGGCCTGCCCGCGCTCCTACAGCTACGCCTTCGACGACCCCACCTCCACCTTCACCTGCGCCGGCGGCCCCGACTACACCGTCACCTTCTGCCCCGGCGCCACCCCGAGGTCAGCCTCACTCTCAGTCCCAGCTCTCCTCCATTTGACCTTCCAAGTCCGGATCTGGTTGGTTCTTGCCTTGCCAAGGGGGGTTGATCCGTTTAAGAGATTACAGACTTTCCGTGTGATTAAAATGGAAGAGATCTGCAGATCTGAATCTAGGCAAGATATTTTAGCTTAGCAGCAGAACAGGGTGGGCATAAAAGACGAGCTTTCTTTGCCGTTATGTGCGTTTGGTTTACTGTTTCCGCCATTCTCGTGACCTCACCACGTGCCCTTGTTCTGTCCTTTTGTCACACGAGCAGCCAGAAGTCGACCACGGTGCCGGCGGCCACAACGCCGACGCAGACGACGCCCACGCCGACGACGGTGCCTCGGACGGAGACGCCGACAACGACGGTGCCCGGGACGGATATGCCGGGGATGATGCCGGGGATGACGTTCACGGACGCCAACCCGGACAGCATGCCGATGCCGATGGGCGGCGAGGCCGGCACTGGTGGCGGTGGCAGCATCCAGGGGCAGGGCGTGATCCTCGGGGGCGCCAGCAGCGACGCCTGGCTCGCCAACATGGCCACCGGCGACGTGAGTGGCGCGGCAGCGACACCACACCCGGTAGCCTCGGCGCGGCTAGTCGCCGTGCCATTGGCGTTGCTCGTGCTCCATCTGCTGCGGTAGATGGAGGTCGCCGGAGCACTGATTGATCGGTGCAATGTGTACGGGTGAAAAGAAAGAGAGATTGGTTGTAGGATTAGATTTGGAGAAACCATTGTAACATTCCGTGTTGATGGGATTTTGTTGTATGTAGGAGATTGTTGGTTAAACTAATGTTTTAGCTCAGTTCAGCTCCGGTATAATCATTGTAACTCAACCGGCATCGCTAACCGAGACAACGCAGGGACACTTAGGCGGTGTTTGTTTCAGTTTCAGGACCAGGTACAGCTTTTTTAGAACAAACAGCTATTCGAATCAGCTTTGAAAAATCAGCCAAAATCTGATTCCAGCATTTTCCCAGTGTATATTTGGGTAAAAGCACATTCCGATGTACGTACTTACTTCAGTGCCAAAAAGCACAATGAAAGCAGATTCAAGTGCCGGATTATGGCTGATTCAGACATGGTGCGGTAAAGGAACGGGTTGGAACCGAAAACTGTCATATACTCCCTTCGTCCTAAAATTCTTGTGTTAGATTTGACCAGATACGTATGTATCTAATACTAAAACGTGACTTGATACATCCGTATTTAGACAAATCTAAAACGTGGATTCCGGGCACTATTTCTATGTCACCGGTCCGCAGAATTGGTACTGCTCAGGTGAATGTTGTGACGGACCTCATTGACTCCAACAACTGGTCGTGGCAGGCGGATGTGGTGCGCGAGAACTTCATACCCCCAGATGCTGATGCTATTCTCAACATTCCATTGAGGCAGGGAGGGGGTGATGATTCGTTGGCATGGGCTTTCGAATGATCGGGTTGCTACACTGTAAAATCAACGTATCGTGCTCTAATAACTCGCAACGAGCAGATTGCTCTAGAGGAAGGGACGACTACCGAATCTTCAATGACAGATAGATGTGGTCTCGTTTGTGGAAGCTCAAAGTCATTCCCAGAGTGAGAGTCTTCTTGTGGCGGGTTTTGCAAGGCATTCTCCCCGTTGAAGCCACTCTGAAATACCGCCATATTGCGACGGTAAGCACTTGCAAAATATGTCTTCACTCTAACGAAGACATGATGCACGCCCTACTGGAGTGCCCTCATGCCAGACAGTTTTGGGATGCAACACCGAAGTGGCTAAATGTTAAAAGGCCAACCCTGCACCCGCTAACCTGGTCAAGGGACATCCTATGTGATGATAAGTTTTCAGAGTCTGAACGAGCGACTCTAGTGACTGTTATGTGGACGATTTGAACCTCTCGATACAATATCACCCACGACAAAGCTGCATTCAATCCTATTCAATCCATGAGAAGGGTGCGGGAAACCCTAGCAGTTCTGGAGCTGCCTCGTGAGCATGCTCGTACTTTACCTGGCCATGGCTGGCGTCCACCAAAGTTGGGCTGGATCAAAATAAATACTGATGGAAGTATTGCAATGGATGCAAGGAGGGGAGGGACAGGAGGAGTTGCTCGATCTCGGTCATCCTTCCTTGCGGCATGGTGCAAACCCTACCCTGGGGTCACGGATCCGCTGATAGCTGAAGCTCTCTTGCCATTCGCGACGGAGTCATCTTCGCCCGTCTGAGAGGCTATGCAGAAGTGGTTCTTGAGTCCGACAATTTGGAGATTGTGAATCTCTGGAATTCGCGCCAAACATCCCGTGCGGTGGTGGCGCCTATCTTAGATGAAATTGGGGAGCATGTTCCTTCTTTTAAGTCTTTCGTAGTTCAGCATGTTGGTAGGGCAGCCAACGTCTCCGCTCATCTTTGTGCAAAGCAAGCGAGCACATTAGATGTTACAAAAGTGTTGGCTGGAATCTACTCCAAGTTTTCTTGTAACCAGCCTCCTAGCAGATTCTGCTGGAGCTGTTGATGTTGAATAAAGAGCTCCCGAATTTACTTGCAAAAAAAAAAAGAGTACCACATACTACAATATAGGAGGAATATATAGATGATTTAAACTAAAATTATACAGAAACAACGAGAAAATCTCAATACTTGTACACTTTAAGCACACATAAAACACTAGAAAATACTGAAATAAGCCAAATAAATCACTAGTAAGCATAAGCAAAGATGACATTCACGTATTGCTAGTTAATACTTAAAACTTTACACATAAATTGAATATCATTATTTAAATATGTCGGATTATCCTTTTAAAAATAGACTCGGAACAATAGTAGTATCATATCCTATACCGTATCCTATCAGTCGGACTTGGATTCGGTTCAGATGGCAAATATCTCTTACCGTAGCTTATAAAAACGGATTCGAAAGTGGATTCAATCGAAAATTATCCTAACCAATTTCACTCTTTTTTAAGACCGAAGACTCAAAAAGAGCTCAGCTTTGAATTAACAAAGCCATTAACCAGCTAGGAATTACAAGATCACACACACAGACACACACACACACACACACACACACACACACACGAACGCGCACGCGCACGCGCACGCACACGCACACGCAACAATCAAGTGACCGAGACACACAATAACCAATATCTTCATAACCCGCAAGAAGATCAAAATAAAAACAATATGATGAAATACCTACTTGTACTTAGTTACGAACAAAGCTGTTTCTTACATCAAAGTTGAGGAAATTACCAAAATGGTGCATAACCAACTCAACATCGCTAGACCAAAGTTCATAAGCAACCAGAACTCAGAACACAGAACAGTTCATGAGGCAGCACTTAACTAACCCTTACAAAGGCACGAGTCATCAGGCCATGGATAAGTAGTTAACATGTGCATCTACTTACGGAAGTTCTTCCTCGGCGTCCAGATTTACGCCCCCTAGTTCACCGCCTGTAGGAACAGGCAAGTGGGTACCTAGCTGCAGCGTTAACTTCATGGCATTGCGGAAGTGTGGGCAGTCTGCTTTACTTTCAGGAATCCCGTTGCTGCGGAACCATTTTGCCCAAGCTTTGGTAAGCTTTGATCTTGTCTCCATCTCTTTCTTGAATATCACGTCGATTCGGGTTTGTGTCAGTACCCGGCTTGGCACAAGACCTGTATCGATTCCTTGAACTCTGCTGTTTGACTTGTCTAACATATCTGTGGAGCGAGAAGAATAAAGGATTAAACCACATGCTACGGTTGCTGCAATGTCCCCAATCCCAGATGATCATTCTACATTTCGGATATTGCTAATGGAAACCGCTATTAATTGATATACCCAAGTCCCAAGTGGCCAATGTCTAACTGGCTATAGAAACATAAATCAGGATGCATGTATTTTACCTCCTGGTATGGTTCGGGTCGAAGCAGCTGCGGCATTGTCTCCTGCCGCTCCTGCCCCCCTTGAAGCAGGAACCATGATGCTGTCATCCTTCGCCAGAGATCTGGAGATGCCACCAACTCTTCTTTCGCATACTGACAAGTCACTCACTAGCAGGGAGAACTGATGTCAGATTGAGAAAATGGAAAAAGAAGTGATGAGAAGGGATACTAAGAAGATGCAAGAGAGTGCACTCAGACCTCCGTGTCTTGAGTCTGAGTGTTAATAGGTGATAAGCTTTGTGCATATACTATGATACAAAAACAGAAAATGATGGAAGGCAACTGAGAAACAGAAAATGTCAATAAAAACTAAATGAGCCTCTTTGAATAATGACAGTAAACACACCAGATTGAACAATTGAAAAGGTCAGCATCAGAAATTAGTATCTAAGATCTGAATGCTGAAAGGCTTACACTTAGACTTGCAGCGCGCAGGTCTCCTCAACAGAAGATAAAGAGAGCTAATTATTACATATAAGTTTATTCATATTACGGATGTGTGATTAATAGAAAGATTCCTAGAGATGAACATTATATCATCGGAAAAAAATTGAATGAATAATATTACTAGCTTTGTGCTTCGAAATGGGCCAAACAACCACTAAATTGCTTACCTATAATATCACACTATCGGAGTTTAAACTTAATTTTAGTTTGTATCTCACAAATTTCCAACTGCCATATGCAGCCCATCCTCAAAAGATATGTAATATTGGTACATACGAACATAACCATCGTATAATGTATGTATAGAAAGAAAGCAATAAGCTTTTAATTTTTACGATTTTGCCAGATTCTGTAATGGATTTATACACAATGTTATAGAATAAATTAGTTAAAACTGCTTCCTCTCTCTGAAGATGAGAATATTGAAGTGCCACAACAGAGTACAGTTAATCAGTTACAAACACTTTGCGACAATGAAGGTATTCCAGCAACCAAGTGCAAAAAATAATTTGGCTATTTCCATGTTTCTGTTTTCTGGAAATGTGAAGAGCGAAATACCTGCAGTATAGAAACTTTTGTACGGATAATAGGCGGTGGTCGTGAAATTATCTTTGCCAAGATTTCTGAACTGCATTGTATCAAGCTGAATGATGCAGACACCAATATCTGTCCTTACATAAATCGCACGATCATCTTCATCATACCCCAACATGAGATTATCCATTCCTCCCATAGGCCCTAGACCAAGGATCGTGTTCATTTGAAAGGTCTTCTGCAGCACCCATCCAGCAACACCATCACAATCGACTTCCCTCTCCCACATTTCGATTTTTTGGTATTCCAAGGCAGCAAGGCCAAAACTGCCATCATCTGTCGACATGATCTTAAAGCTGCTCCAGCAGCTATAATCCCCGAAATCCGGCATCTCGATGTTAACTAGGCTATGCTTATCTAAATCAAACTTGAGTATGCCATCCTCATTGCCATCAAACACCCAATAAACAGAATCCCCTACAAGGGTGCTGGGACGGCTCAGCTCACGCATATACCGAATTGCTGCTGTTGAGATGAGCTCGCCCCATGTTCCGGTCTCCGATGAGTAGACAGAGGCAAATGCTCGTTTATTGTCATCGTGGATACCTATCAAGACCACCTGAAATGGGCTGGTGTGGCAATCGCCGTGCACGTGGCCTTCGTCGCCGGCAACGCAAATCACGGCGGCGTTGAAGACGCCAATATCCTTCTCGTCAAACACTGGTGGAACGACCACATGACGGCGGCCTCCGGTGGCGGGGTCAAACAGCATGACCTCACGTAGCTGGTGGTCGAAGAAGACGACGCGTCCATGGCGGCAGTCGAACAAGTCCATGTACATGCTGAGGATGTCTGGAGGGAAGAAGCGCTCGTGCGGGATGTGGTCTGGAGGGTCGAGATCGGACCTGAAGTAGGGGTGCCCGGTGTGGCCCATGACGAGGCCGAGGAGGGGAGGTTTCCGGTGGTGGTCGCGGAAGCCGCGGAGGAATTGGGGGTCGCGGACGACGCCGCGCCATTGCTTGCAGACGACGGAGACGCGGGGAATGGTGGAGGGCTGAGGCGGGAGGAGCAGGAAAATCTTCCGGAGGAGGTCTTCGTCTTCCAGCGCCGCCGGTGGCGAGGCGGGGCGAGCGCGGCGGCGGCTGCGGCTGCGGCGGCGGGCCATGTTGTCGTCGACTGGATGTGGTGTGGGGGTGTGGAGTAGTAGACCGTCGACTGTGCGGCACGGTCCGTCGAGGTTTTCAGCCTCTTTTCAGCCAGGGGCCGAGAACCAGGCCCATGAGATGTCTAATTCTAGTGCTCTTATTTTTTTTTTCTTCTCCAGTGTTTTACTTTGGTTGAATCTCCATTTGCCTCATTCTGTACTAAGGGTAACGTGCGCTTTGCTGCGCCATTGTTTCTATTCGATCACGCACTTTGATGCATTTAAACCTAGTTGCACGCGCACTGCCGATCATGAATATTTCTCATAGCAGGCACCATGATTGACATCATGGTCTTTCTGGAAAAGAGAGAATAGCATGACATTTTTTATACTAAAATTGCAGCTGACTTCCTAAGGAAAAATGAAAATGGAGGTTTTGTTGCCGGATAAATGACATCAGAGTTATCATCACATATATTCATACAACTGAATGTGCATGCACGACATCGATGCAGAGGCGTGATTACCAGCCATTCAATCCCATGTACACAAAAAAATATCATTCCAAAAACATTTTGTGGCGGATAAGGCCTAAGAAGAAATGTATTGTAGACCTTTTACCATCAAACTATGTTAAAATAGGTATTTCAAACCGAATAGTGGGAGCATCATTCTGCGACATGTCTACTTCTGGTGCATAGGCAATCTAGGAGTAGGCTCATTTAAATTTCATATGTTTCTTGAAATAAATAATTCTGAAAAAACATAGAGCATCCACCATATTTCATTACCCGTGTCTTCATTCTGTAACCTAAACTCAAACCTAACGTTCCTAACTCAAAGTATGAACCTTCATATCAAAGAAGACTTTGATTCATATCAAAAAGCTATTGGAATCAGCTTTGAAAAATCAGCCAATATTTGATTCGATCAATTTCTATTGTATTTGGCTAAAGCACATTCTGATGTACTTCAGTGCCAAAAAGCATAACGAATACATGGCCGTAAAGGTGAAGCCCAAACAAACAAGGCCTTATGCACACACGGTGGCCAACCAACAAAACACCGATGGCTCCAAGATGACGACTCCAACGAGGGAAACAATGTCAAAACATGGTCGTCATCCAAGATGACGCCTCCAACGAGGGAAACAATGTCAAAATATGACCATCGTGCAATCCAGAGAACTAGTCTTACGCTTCTAAGTGGAGCGCATAGACTGGAGAAGGTGTCCAATGCTACTCGACGATGCCTTTAAGGAGGAAAACAACACCCCTAATGTTCTACCATCATCGGTGCCAACAAAGCTGTCACATGACTTTCATCAGTATCATTAAGGGTGAAATAAGATCAGATTCAGGTGCATAATTCTTATACCAGTATCCTATTTCATATTTATTTTTGTTTTCAGAAGCGAGAGGTATATGAATTCCAATACCGGATTGTGCAGATTCGAATACCGAATTATGGCAGATTCAAACATGGTACGGTAATGGGACAGACTGGAATCGAATATGGTCATATACCACATGCATATATGAGGAATATACAAATGATTTAAAGTTTTAAACTAAAATTATACAAAAACAATGAGAAAGTATTTATACTTTTACATTTTAAGCACACATAAAGCACTAGAAAATGCTAAAATAAGCCAAATAAATCACTAATAAGCATATGTCTCGTCTCATAAGCATGACATTCACATATTGGTAGTTAATACTTAAAACTTTACACATAAATTGAATATCCATGTTTAAAGATGTTAGATTATCCTATTAATAAACAGACTCAAAATATTAGTAGTGTCATATCCTATACCGTATCCTATTAGTCGGACTTGGATTCATACCAGATGTCAAAAATCTCATACCGTAGCTTATAGAAACGGATTCGATCGAAAATTATCCCAACCACTTTCACACTTTTTTTAGACCGAAGACTCAAGAAGAGCTCGGCATTGAATTAATGATGTAGGGTGGAACCCTAATGGTCGATCTTTTCACACTTGGAGGGGGGAAGAGAGCAAATCAAAGAGGAACACAGGAAGAATTCTCAAATACACAAGATCCAACCACACATATGCTAAATCCACATACACAAAGAGGAGATACAAGGATCCAAAGTCAACGCAACAGGATGCATAGGGTAACTAGTTCATCCCAATCCTTAAAGGAGAGAGGTCTTGAATCCTAGAAGCATCTTCCCATGAAGGGGTCTTGAATCCAGTTGTGGGATATTCTCAGATGGAGGTCTCTAACTCCTGAGAGTGGTAAGTGGATGAGCAGAGCTCTATCTCAAATGAGCTATAACCTTTGTTAACCCTAGAAGGAGGAGGGAATAATTTATTTATAATGCCAGTACAAGTTGGGACGAAATGAAGGGGTACATAGGCCTTTGATCCAGTCTCTCTGCACAAGTAGGTGCCAGATGTCCAGCGGCTCACGAAGAGGCGGATGTCCGGGGTTTCGGTCAGATGTCCGGGCTGGACAGGCCCGATTCCTACTGCTCTATGGATACGTCGGGTCGAATATAGTTGGATCATATGGTGTTTCTCCCTCTCTATCTTGTTGTGATGAATTGAGTTTTCCCTTTGAGATCTCGTTCTTATCGAATTGAATATTTTTATGGATTTGAGAGCACTTGATAGATGTCTTGCATATGAATACCCGTGATGACAATGGGGTATTATATTGATTCACTTGATATATGTTTTGACACTCAACTCGCGGATTTCCGAGGTGACATTGGGGCAATCTATGCATAGGGGTTGATACACTCAATTAATGCGCTCGTTTTCCTCAAAAAATTGTGTTACTAATGCATTAGTTGCAATGCATGCATGCATGAAGTACATGCATTGGTCAATTTTCATTTAATCCTTGCATGCCATGATTTAATGCACCTTAAAATCTGAACATATGATAGAGAACAATCAAACTAAGACTTATAAAACGGAAGCCTAAAATTTTGAGATAAGTCCTATAAACCGGAAAGGAGGGAGTATATGTCAACTGCATTATTGTAATACATGTTTAACATTTTTCTAATACAAATTTAACATTTTAATAATACATAGTCAACATTTTTCTATATACATTTAAAAATCTAATGCTTGATTAACATTTTTTAATACATGATCAACATTTTTCCTATACACACTTTCAAATGCTTGATTAATATTTTTCAAATACAAGATCAATTTTTTTAATACATTATCAACATTTTCTTATGCACATTTAACATTTTTCAAATGCTTCATTAACAATTTCTAAATGCAATATTAACACTTTTTTAAAACATGGTCAACATTTTTGCTAAACACATATAACATTTTTCAAATTCTTGCTTAATATTTTTCAAATACTTGTCGAACATTTTTTTTCAAATGCTTCATAAACATTTTTGTATAAATGAGAAATTTTTTTCATCGTTTTTACTACATGGTCAACATTTTTTCTATATACATTTAACATTTTAAAAATGCTTTTTCAACATTTTTCAAGTGCTTGATTAACATTTTTATATACATGATCAAATTTGTTTAATCATTTTTTAATGCATGATCAACATTTTTTCTATACACATTTAATATTTTCCAAATGATAGCTTAACATTTTTCAAACACTTTTTCAGGATTTTTTCTTCAAATGCTTGATTAACTTTTTGAAAATACATGATCAAATTATTTTATACACTTTAGATTTTTTTTATACATTTTCATATACGTGATAAACATTTTTTATACACATTTAACATTTTTTAAATGTCTGATCCACATTTTCCAAATGTTTTTGTGTACAATTTTTTATGATATATATGTTTATAATATTATAAAATGTAAATTAAATTACAAAAATAAAGCAAAGAACAAAAGTGAAAAAAAAACAGAAAAAAATCGTGTGGCCTCCGGCGCTTCTGGGTCAGCCATGTCGCTCAGCGAAGGTTCCTGCACTCTTGCTGAAGGTGAGATATAGGGGCACCCGCTGAATAGGACGTTGCCGCTCATGCGCATAAAATAATAAGCCACAGCCCAATATCTATTCGCTCTCATCGCCCGTTACGTTGGCTCAGACGTGAGAAAACAAAACTCTGGCTTGTAAAAAACTAGCTATGCTTTTCTATAGAGTTTAAAAACTTCATGAATTGAAAAAAGTTTATGAATTCGAGAAAAGACTATATTTAAAAAAAATCATGATATATAAATTATTTCACGTTTTTTCACAAATTTAAAAATTTATTATAAATTTTAAAATGTTTACAAATTCAAAAAAAATCCATCAATTTCATAAAATATTCATCTTTTTCTTAAACAATAATGGATTTAAATTAACTTTATGAATCTATAAATGTTCATAATTTTATAAAAAATGTAAATTTAGAAAATGTTTATGAGTTTGAAATAACTTACCAATTGTAATTTTTAATGGATTAAAAAATGAACATGGATTTGAAAATGTTCCTGAAAATTTAGAAAAGTATGCAGTTTCCCAAAAAAATTCACAAAATTGATGAACATATCATGCATTTTTTAAATGAAAAAACGAAAAATAGAAAAAAAGACGAAAACACCAGGCAAAAACTAGGGAAAACAGAACCACATAAAACCCAACCCCAAAAATCGGTGGGAGGAAATATAATGGCCTGCAAGCCCACTTAGATCTAGCAAAAAGGGAGGTGTGCGCGTTGTAAAGTGTGGCCTCTATTGGATTATCAAAAATTTCTCAAAAAATAATAATTTGGCCTCTCTTTGGCGCCTTAGAGCAACTCCAATAGCTCCCGTAAAAATCATTCCGTCAAAGTCATTTTACGGGATGGCGGTATAAATTAAAGGGTGTTTTCATAAAACTTGTTCCCCTAAAAATATTTTCCCTCCCATTTCTTACTAAATGGTGTTGGGCCGCAAGTTAGTGACATGATGCTGGGCCCGCAAGTTAGCGAGACGACGTGTCAACGGCTTGCGGAGCAGTGAGGTGGCGTGACCTAGCGACGACGCGACCTTGCGGCGCAGGGGAGAGGAGGCGGGGCAGAGCGGCGGCGGTGGCGCGACTTGGAGGTGAGAGCCCTTGTCACGGCGTGACCTGGCGGCGGCCTCGTGGCAGCATGACCTTGTGGGACAAGGTAAGAGACTGAGCGGCGGCGGCCTCACAACGGCGCGTGGCAGGGGAGGCGGCGGGCTTGCACGACAGGGCGGCGACAACAGCGGCGTGGCAACCCAGCTACCCGGCGCGACACAAGGCTCACCTCTAGTAAAGTTTTAGACGGTTATTCACCCATCAAAATTATACGAGAAGACCATCTTCCCACAAACGTAAGTGACAAGAGAGGTGATTATAAGAGAACCCATACAAAAATTCGGATTTACGGAATGAGGCTTTTTTACCCCAACTTCTGATAAACGGTCATTTTTCAGGGATACATGGGCTATTTTTTAACACCGTACAATCGAAGTCGCTCACATACATGAACATGCACTCATCCTTATAAAACACGCACACACACACACCCCTATCCTTGTGAGGACCTTTGAGAGATTGAGACGGCATAACATCTTGAGATTTTACGAAGTGACCACAAATGCCTCGCAGTTGACGTAACGTCTCCTCCTACTGAAAGAACATCGCCGGAAGACTGAAATATACAGGAGTTATGCGAGCACCAATATCAAGTGTATGACTTAAACTCTGATGGGCTGGGGATACCACTACCATCCTAACCATCCAATCAGGAGCTATTAGAGTTTTTTTTGGAAAAGGGACGGGAGTTAGTAGAGTTGGTTTAAGCGTGAAATGTGATTTGGCCAGGAGCTTCCCCACCCCACCCGCATTGGCTACAGAAAAGAAATTGGTTTTTTTTAGGCAAATCCGAGTTTGGTTACTGTCTCACTTTGCAAATCCGAGTGAGCCGGTGTCCGTCTCGATTGTCTGGGCCGGGCCGAGCCGGAGTCGAGCGTGAGATCAATATAAGCGTAAATCATCGGCCCCCGTTCGTTCCTCATAGAAACCCTAAGTTTGGCGGAGGCGGAGACTGCGGCGGCGGCGAGAATACCAGACGGCAAAGCCTGGTTAGCAATCTCAACAAAAAAAGAAAGAGAAGAGAGATCGATGTCGGGTGGCGGCGGGGGAGGAGAGGTGAGGACGCCTCGGGAGATGGATCGGAAGCTGGAAGTTCCTTCCGAAGCAGAGATCCTGAGGATGGAGATTGCATCCCTGGTGAACTTGCTCAGGGAGAACCAGTCTGACATTCTTCAATTCGACCCTGAGATCGCGAGGAAGATCACGTCCCTGAGGAGCGAGATCGCATGCCAGAAGTTGGCGAGGGAGCGCAAAGCCTCGGTTCCGGAGGCGAAACGCACAGTGGCGAGGAGGCGTAAAAAGTTCGCTGCTGTGCGGAGGGTCGCGGAGAAGGAGGAGAACATGGCCGGTCAGTTGGGCGTGGATCTGCCCAACTGCGATACCCAGAGCATGAGCTCCCAAGTCAGTTGCATCTCTGAGCAGATGCCCGAGCGGTGCGACCAGAAGGAGATTGACTCGGGCAAAATCAAACCTGCCTCCGGATTCATATCCAACTCCGAGCATGTATATTTGCCCCACGGCGGTGAGGATGAGGGCGAGCGCCTAAACTGCTTATTCAGTTATATATTGCAACGGACGGATGCCTTGTGCGACGAGATGGCATCCATGGCATCTTTTCTGGCCAAAATCAGTATCCCCGTTATCTCCTATTACAAGGTCTTCGATCAGTTAAACGCGGCGCAGAGGTTATCTAAGATCTCCCTGGATATATTACATTCAACCGCGAATGCAGATAAAAAGATGGCTGACCAAAATGTTGAGGACCAGAGGGCCGAAGAGGACAAAGGCAAATCCAGCACCCACTGTTTTGAGAACCAGGGAACCAAGCAACATGTGGATGCATCTGTAACAGATCAGACAATGGGCCTTTGTAAATCAAACATGGAAACGCCGCAGATGGCTGCCTACTGTCCTGATGGCCAGATGACTGATGAGGAGGATGAACATTTCGTGGCAGCGGATCCTATAAGTGGCCTTTGTGACCAGGCGACTGTCCACTCTCACGAGAACCAGAGTACCACGGAGTACATGGAGATGGTTGATCCCATGACAGATGAAGGCCAATCAAGCACGGAGACGCATGCGTCGAGGATGATGGACGGGGGCAATTCAAGCAGCGAAGGCAAATCAAGCAATGAAGGCCAATCAAGTACGGAGACGCATGCATCGAGGGTGATGGACGAGGGCAATTCAAGCAATGAAGGCAAATCAAGCAACGAAAGCAAATCAAGCACAAAGGCAGTGGTGATGGTGCTGGATTCCGATGAGGAGCATGAAGTGCAGGGTATGACCATGGAGATGCGCAAATATTTGAAGATGCTCGAATGTGAGGAGGAGGAGGAGGAGGGGAAGATGACCCCGGAGGATTTAGCGATGGCTGACCAATTTGAGAAGGAGCTATTAGAGATGGAAGCCAACTTTCTCAAAGTCCAGGAGCAGGATGATAAGGACACGCCAAACTGGATCTCTGTCTCACATCAGGATGAGGCAGAGGAGATGGAGTTGGAGGACAGGTTGTTTGCTAGACGCCGTAAAGGCTGGGAATCTGCATGGGGAGACCGCAGTGACTTCGAAGACTTGAGTAAGTAAACTTAAACACCCATTGATTCCTTCTCATCGTATTCATCTTCCAACAATGGCAATGCAAGCAGACCCCCCCTCCCTTTCGTCCTTCCTTCCTTCATTCATTGCATATAAGTAAGTAATTCATGTTGGAACATGGCTAACACTTCATTAATTTGGTGCTGCAGCCTTATTGAGTCCTATGCACTTTACACATTGCACGCTGGGACTGATCCCCTACACTGCTAGCACTGTGAGCGCCTTGCAGATCTACTCTGTCAAGATTGTTGAAACAAAGGGAAAGTTGAAGTGGCCACTCTATGTCTATGGGGTCGTCGCTGCCCGAGATGCCGTAGATCACAACCGTAACATTCTCTTCTCTCGGCAAAGGGAAGACTACCAAGAACTCACTCTAGAGGTAATATACGGTCTTCCATTTTGTTCTTCATTTTCTCCTTTTTCTTCTTCCTGCAAGTGTCGTTGTTTGTTGCATTCAACTATACTGACGATTATGATCCTTGCAGGATCCTTTTTTGCACTTGACTGGCCCGTCTCGTGCGATTGTGGCTGTGGACAATGTTGACTTCGAAATCCAACTCAAAGTAAAGGGCACAACATGGTCTGGTGACAAAGCATTGATCAGTCACTTCCAGACCTACCCCGGTGATCGTGAAGGTTTAGATACAGCGCTCTTTAGCAACTCCTTTTGCACGATAGAGTTATGTTTTGAGCGACTTACAGAAACCGTCCAGGCTACTATCTTGAGTGTCTGTGTTGTTGAAGGGTGGCCATCACCTTTTGAATACGGCGGCCGGATTATGTGCTCCTCACCACCACAGGAAGTTAAGGACCCCCTATCCAGGCATGTTGTGTTGGTTGATTCTCATGATTTTGATGGAGAAATGCCAATGGGCTCAGCTGGTTACGTTGATCTGTCAAGGCATGTTGTTTCTGTAGAACTGGGACATAACCTGCAATTTGTCATACAAGCTTACTCACAGTCTGGTGCCATTGCTAGGCAAAGCCGTCTCACGTTTAGGACCAAATATTGCAACATAAGTCGAGGTATATGTGAGATTGGTGACTCTAAGGTGGAGATTACTGTTGCTTGGTCCCAGCTTATCAAGAGCAAGATGGAAATCCTCTAAGAAGGAATGGTTCTTTTGGCGTGGATGCTATGGACTATGATTCACACCGCCCATTTTATCTGTTCTTGTCTTGCATGTGGGTTGCGAAACTGTCGATGTATTTGTGTATTGATTAGCTAGTATGTCCAACTGTTTGTGCATCGACCTAATGTTATCCGACTATTTGTGCCTACTACAATTTATTATTATGTTGTGTGAAGTAATGTTTCTATTTTGATTATTCAGCAGTTATGCTGTGCAAAATGTCTTATATTATGAATATGCAATGTCAGCAACGTATACTGTTTTGTTTGTGAAAACCTTAATTAGCTTCCCAGCCACCAGAAAGATGGTTTGTGACATCAACTTTTAGTGGTTCTCATAACTACCTTCTCGGGATGGGCTCTGGCTGTGCTTCCCTTCAAAAGTGAAATAAAAATCGTTGCTTTAGTAATCCTCTATTTCTAGTTACCCACAGGGGTTCTGGGAGTTAACAAATGGTATTAGTGGAACTAGTGATTGGTGCCACCAATATATGGGCACTTTGTTGCTCGAAGCTACAAACTGAAAAAATGGTGTGTTGTACATGATTTTGGAGTATAGGCAATACTAAATCTCTCTCCATTTACAGGAAAAACTTGACAACCTTATCAGCATACCTCTGTTCAGAACTTAAAATCCATAGGCACAACAGGAAAAAGTGACAATTTGTAGTAGAAACATACTCCCTCCGTTCCTAAATATAAGTCTTTTAAGAGATTCCACAATAAACTACGTACGGAGCAAAATGAGTGAACTTATACTCTAAAAGGCGTCTATATACATCCAAATGTAGTCTCTATAATTGACTAACTGACACAGGTGGTGGTATATTGGTATATTTTTTAAACGAGGCAAAAGACTTGCCATTGTCATTGATTAAAAAGAAGTGAGAATTGCCTGGTTAATTGACGGAAAACCGGGCTAAAACCGATACAACCTGACCCATAAAGACATGGGCACCACCGACCAACCTGGCCACCGACATGGAACATGAGCCACGACGGCACGTGCCAACAGATGGTAGATGGCCACACGCACGAACAACTGAGAGCTCTGATTTTGACGACATGCATCACCAGGGAAATATGCAGAACTTGCGCCGACCGTGCCTCCCGACCACTGAGCGCCTGACATTGTCACCACCTGGACTCGCTCCACTGCAGCTCCGACTTCAAAGCAATCAGGCAACCCACGGAGAAGCACCTCGGACACGCCGGGAAGATCCGACTACCGAAGCCCGAGCCGTGACCCAAGCTCCTCTTAACTCCATCATCATTGCCAAACAAAGATCCACGCCCCCGAAACGGCCGCCTCAGCAAACCACGCGGCGAAGATGCAGCCATCCACCGTGGCGAAGATGCCGCCAACCACTAGTCTCCAGTTGTAGCCGGCTCCGAGGCGATGCCCACAAGGAGGAAGAAGATGTGAAGACGCCTTCATCGCCCAATCGCGTAGATATGAGGTTTCCCTCCGGAGCCAAGGCCACGGGGAGAGGGGAGGAGCAGCACACAACAACGACGCTTCCAAGAAAGAACGCCCGTTGCATCGACTCCGTGCTCTTTTCCCCCTCTCTTCTAATTGTTGCATCGATTCCAACCATCGCGTCTTGTGCGATGCGTCTCTTGGAAACATATATAAGTTGTACTGTTTCTATCAATCAATACAGCTGATCATTTTCACTCGAACACGTTATCATGCACGCTCTGCCGAGAGCACGGAAAGGCCTCGCCGACGTTCTCTACGGTGACAATCCGATGGAAGTGGAATTATGCCTTGTGTACAGGGCAACCACAAACTCCATACCGAGGGAGATAAAGTATTTCCAAACTCTGAAAAAGATAAATGGAGATATTCTAACTATCGTTGGACGCGATACGGTCATAGTTGGCACTAGACATGCCATATTTACCCACCCAGGTGGTACACAAGTGGCAATTGAGGATGCTTTGTTGTATCCCGACTCATCACGTACCCAGATCAGTTATCCAGATATCCGTAAAAATGGCTTTCACATTGAAGCCCATAAAGATAACAAAAAGGAGTACTTAGGGCCTGTTCTGAATCTCTCCAGCTCCTGACTTCACAAATTACCAGAGAGAATCCATCCCGAACGATTTAGCTTCTAGAAGCTAAATTCACGAAGCTAGGATGGGCCGGCAGTGCAATTTTGTGAAGCAAGGGTTTCCCAGCTCTACGTTTTTAAGATGAAGTTCCTCTGATTTACAAGCAGATTGCCACCGCTTAAGAAAACGGTTCGATCCCCCGTCTCCCTCCCCCTCTCGACCCCTCTCGACAGACACGCACGAAGCCAGGTCCCCTCTCCCTCTCGAATCCCTAGTGCCGCCGTCCCGCCGCCACGCCTGGCACACCCCGTCCTCGGCCGATTCCTATCCTAGGCCAACAGATCCGACCTTCCCAGAGAGTTCCCCGCCGGTTCCCGTCCTCATCGCCGCAAGTACTGCCATCAACGAGGAGTAGCGCCACCATAGGAAGGAGGAGGTCACCCCCACGCCATTGACGCCCGAGAACACCCCCCCAACGACCAAGCACCATGGCCCACGGTGATCTCCTCCATCCTTCTTCCTCCCGCTGGTGTACCCATGGCTGTTCATACTGTTAATGGAAACTGCAAAAAAAGTTCAGATATGACCGTGCTCGTTTCTGTTTTTATTCGGACTGTGTGCAGTTTGGCCCGAAATGGGCTCCTTCCAACCAGCCCAATGTGGGAACAAGCAGGCCTTTAGCGCCCCAGCTGGGCTTCCAGCTCAACCAGGCGCTAGGGGAAGTTGCCTGCGTCCAGAACGTTTTCCAGATCGCTGGGAGAAGCGAGAAGCCACGTTAGAAGCCAGCTATGGGAAGTTTTAGAGAAGCTAGGAAGTTTCAGAACAGGCCCTTACTCTTCACCAAAGATCACGGATATGGCAAGCAGGTTCCTTCTTTATCGTCTAGTTTGTACTATACGTACATCAAACCCGTAGAACATGTTGCACACAAAGTATTTTTTCAAAATTTTGATGCATTTAAAACCTGGCATGATCGCCTAGGCCATCCCGGGGATCGGGATGATGATAAAAATTACTACAATTCCATTGGTCATAATTTGCTTAAATTTCCTCAATTTTCAGACTTTGTGTGCACATCTTGTGTCGCGGGAAAGCTTTTGAGGCCCTCTCACCTCAAAATACAAGCTGAAACACTTCAATTTCTTGAACGTATTCAAGGAGACATTTATGGTCCCATCCAACCATTATCTGGACGTTTCCGGTATTTCATGGTTCTAATTGATGCATCTACACGATGGTCACACGTGTGTCTTCTATCCACGCGGAACCATGCATTTGCCAAGATAATGAGGAAAGTCATCAAGTTAGAAGCCCATTATCCATAAAGTCGAATCAAGACAATTCGCATGGACAATGCTGCAGAATTCTCATCACGTGCTTTCAATGTTTATTGCATGGCCCTAGGGATTGAAGTTCAACACTTCATTCCATATGTCCATGCACAAAATGGTTTGGCCGAATGATTGATTAAGAGGATCAAACTCATTGCAAGACCTTTGTTAATGAATTGCAACTTGCCAACCTCTTGTTGGGGTCATGCGGTCCTACACGCTGCTGACTTGATACAATTGAGGCCTACTGCATATCACAGTATTTCCCCTCTGCAATTGGTACGTGGAAATCCTGCTAGCATTTCCCATCTGCGTAAGTTCAGATGTGCTGCATACATCCCGATCTCACCACCATAGTGGACATACATGGGACCACATAGGAAACTGGGGATCTATGTGGGGTACAAATCACCGTCGATTATTAAGTACCTGGAACCCCTTACTGGGGACCTCTTCATAGCCCGTCGCGCAGATTGTATATTTAATGAGGAAAACTTTCCGGCATTAGGGTGAGATTTCAAGTACCAGAAAGAATGCCCAGAAATTGATTGGAATGCTCAAGCCATTTCATCCTATGATCCACGTACCCAAGAGACTGAACTCCAAGTTCAAAACATAATTAATTTTCAACAACTTGCAAATAACCTGCCAGATTCATTTACTGATCCAAAAGGTGTTACAAAGTCCTTAAATCCGACCAGAAATGCGCCTGAAAGAGTGGAGGTACCAGTAAAAACCACTCAACTCCCTATTCCTAAAAGAGGGGGAGTAGTACGATCTCTGACCTAGAACAAGCTTCCAGCAAGCAACAAAGGAAATCGAGGAGAAAAACCTCAAAGTCAGTAAATGCAAGTCAACTCAACATTGAGAAACACCTGATGGGTAGTATACACCCAATGGAAGGGAAACCTCCACAACCTAGCTTCAGTTTGCACACACTGGCTGGGCCATCGAAACACCCAAACTCATGCATATTGGGAAATCATGAAGAGGCACTAGGGGTGCAGGAAATTTCCATCAACTACATCGACTCTAGAGAATCTTTTGATCCTAAGTCTACGACCGTCGACATTTATTTTGCTGAAAAATTGCAGATATCCTTCTCACTGGTCATGATCCAAGGGCCATCTTTGAGTGCCAAAGCGCTCTACTGGCCTAAATGGAAGGATGCAATACAAGTAGAAATTGCCTTGCTTAATAAAAGAAAGGTATTCACTGAAGCAATATCGACAGCTCCCAATGTTTTCCCCATGGGATACAAATGGGTTTTTCTCCGGAAAAGAAATGAGAACAATGAGGTGGTGAGATACAAAGCAAGGCTCGTAGCACAAGGGTTCATGCATAGACCCACCATTGATTACAATGAGACCTATTCTCCTATAATGAGTGGAACCACTTTCTGATACCTTATATCTTTGGCAGTGCAAAATTGTCAATCTATGCAGTTGATGAATGTCGTGATCGCATACCTTTATGGGTCACTAGATTCAGACATGTATATGAAGGTTCCCGACAGAATCTCTATCCCGAATACAAATGCAAAACGCAACATGTATTGTGTAAAACTAAATAAGTCATTGTATGG